GAGGAGCAGGGAAGCTGACATTTTGGGTTGGGACCCTTCTTCCCGATCTGAATCGTCAGCTTTCCTGCTCCTCTGCTGCCTGGCGTCCTGTGTTCTTCCAGCTCCACACTGTTATCTCTGACTCCAGCATTGGCAGTTCTTACTATCTCTCTTGAAGTTGTCAAGAGTTTTTTTTTTTATGGAGAGGTTACATCAAGGTGATTTTCCACATTGTCGGGTCGATGCCATTGCTGTGGTTGTAGTGAAATAGCTTGGTCTAGAGTGCAGTTAGTTCTGGCACACTAGTCTCCAGTACTATTTCTGGGATATTGTCAGAGCACATGGCCATTATTGTGTCCAGTGCCTTCAGGTGTTTTTGTGGTAATATTTTGTGTGTCAAGTTTCATTTACTGTAAGCTGGAGAACATGAGAATGAATTATCCACTCTGCCATTCTACCTGAGGTTGATTTACTGTTTTTTCAGCCTTGTCATTGCATTGATGTGCTGGAATCCTCCAGCATTATGATGGGACTATTTGTAGAATCTCCTTCATTCTTAACTTAATTGTCAGGCATTATCCACAATTGGATCTGGAAGGACTCACAGTTTCTGGATAAAAAGTGAATTACCATTGCATCAATACACTTTTTCTGGTACTGAGATTTATATGGTCTTATTATTTATCAACTTGTCTCTGGTAAGTTATGAATGTAGTTAACGATGATATTTACAGAATGATCATATGTAGATCATAACACTATGTTTTAACTTTGTTATGTAAAAGGAAAAATATGGTCTGCAAAGAAAGGTTTTTGGATTGGAGGAAGGCAGATTTTATTAAAATAAGGCAGAATCTGGCCAGGGTAGAGTGGGAGCAACTATTTCCGGGTGTATCTACAACAGGACAGTAGGTGATGGGGAAGACTTTCAAAAAGGAATTAGGAGAGTACAGGTCCAACATGTTCCCTTTTAGAGTGAAATGTAAAAGCAACAAGTCGAGGGAACCCTGGCTATCTAGGAATATTCAGGACTGAACAAGAAGGAAAAGAGGCTTTTAACAGGTCCAGAGGAGGCAAATCAATCAAGAGGGGAGATCTTAAGGAAGGAATTAGAGCAAATTGGGAGCATGAAAAATATTAAAAAGAAGAGGACAACCAGGATAAGAGTAGAGCCCATAAGTGACCAAGGGAGCAATCAGTGTAGGGAGCAAGAGGACATTGGTCACTTTTGGAGGAGGATGTAGATACATAATTCAGAGAGGGGAACTGTGAGGTTCTTGAACAGATTTGCCATTGATAGTGAGGAGCTGCCAGAGGCTTTGATGGGCTTAAAGTGGACAAATACTCCAGCTAGATGAGTTGCATCCCCCACTGCTGTGGGAGATACGGGAGAAATTAACAGAAGCCTTTACCTAAATTCTTAATTTCTCACTGGCCACAGGAGGTGCCAGAGGACTGGAGAACAGCTCATGTGGTTCTATTTTTCACGAATGATGGTAAAGATAAACCAGTGAATTACAGACCCGCAAGTCTCAGATCAGTGGTAGGTAAACTATTCGAGAAAATTCTGAAGGAGAAAACTGATCTCCACTTGTAGAGGCAAGATTTGATCAGAGGTAGCATAGCTTTTTCCAAGGAAGGTCGTGCCTAACAAATTTTGAATTTTTCAAGGATGGTGACCAGTTGTGTAAGTGAGCGATGTGGTTCATATGGATTTCAGCAAAGCCTTTTGACAAGGTCCCACATGGGAGACAGATGAAGAAGATAAAAGCACATGAGATTTAGGGTAATTTGGCAAGTTGTATCTAAAACTGGCTTAGTGTTAGAAGTCATGGTGATGGTAGAAGGCTGTTTGTGTGCTAGGTCCCTTTATTGTTCATGATAGGTAGATAGGAATGTGGGGTTAATGGATAAGTATGTTTGCAGATGACACAAAAAATAGCTGGGTGTCTGATATAGTGAGGAAGATGACCTGAGGTTACAGGAGGATGTAAATGGATTGGTCAGATGGATAGATTAGTGGCGGATGGAATTTAATCCTGAAAAATGTGAAGTTATGCACTTTGGAAGAAGTAACAAGATAAGAAAAGTACTCAATAAACGACAAGACAGTAGGAAGTTTAGAGGAACAGAAAAAGGATGTGTTCGTCCACAGATCCCTCAAGATAGCAAGACAAGTTAATACGGTAATTAAGGCATTTTGAGACACTTGCCATCATTAGTAATGGCATAGATTATAAGAGCAGGGAGGTTATGTTGGAGCTGTACAGAACTTTGGTTGGATCATAGCTGGAGTACAGTGTGCAGTTCTGGACTCCATACCTATAGGAAGGCCGTAATTCAACTGGAAGTGGTACAAAGAATCACCAGGATGTTGCCTGTGGAACACTTTTATATTTGCAGAGACGCTGGATAAGCTCTGCTCCAAGGAAAATGACCAGAAAAGAAAAAGAGGGAAACTGATTGAGGTTTGAGAGATTATGGGGCATTGACAGGGTGGATAGAAAGCAGCTGTTCACCTTTTACAGGGTCAATAAGGGAATATACTTTTAAGGTTAAAAAGAAGTTTAGAGGTGATTTGATCAAAAATAACTTTCACGTAGAGGGTGGGGGAATCTGGAATGCACTGCCTGGGAGGTTAGTAGAGATGGGAAAGCTCACAACCTTTAAAAATTACTTGAACGAGTACTCAATATCATAATATACAAGACTATGGGCCAAAGGGTGGAAAGTGGGACTAGTGTAGACTCAAGGGACCAAAAGGCCTCTTCTGTACTCTGATTCTATGATTCTGTCAGATACATAAAGCTAATTGATTACTTTTATTAATTCATGTAATATTAGCATTGGCTAGGGCAGCATTTGTTGCTCACCCCTAACTGCTCAAGAAGGTGGAGGTGAAACACCTTGGACCACTGTTGCCTATGAGAGGTTAGCTGCCCAACTGTGGTGTCAGGGAGGAAGTTCCAGGATTGTGATCCAGTGACAATGAAGAAATAATTAATATAGTTCCAAATCAGGATGCTGCATGCCTTGGAGGCAAATGTGTAGATAGTGTCCTCACCTGAGCCTCCAATCACTAAGATGAGCACAGTATTTAAATTTGAATCCCGTTTAGAAATAATTTAGCATCTTGTCTTGAGACTTAATTTCATTAAAGTACTGCTGCTTAATTTTGGTGTTTAATAAAAGTTCATCTTTTTAATAAACTTTACAGAGATTATCTTGTCTATTCTTATCTAACATTTAGATTGGAATTAATTTCACAAACTTTTACATTTCAAAGAACTAGTTTGAAGCAAATCTAAATATAAGCAGCATTATAATTTAGTCATCAGTTTATTTAGGTGTAATAATTTGTTGACAGCCAGTTAAGTTATCAAATTTTCAAAGCATTAGTGAACATAGTAACAAGTTTGTATTGAAGAGAAGGAAAAAGAAATGGAGAGGGAATATTGGATACTTGACATGAAACACCTTTTATGTCGGGTTTTGCTCTAAAGTAGTAGTCATGCCTCCAAATTAGAAGGTCATCGGTTGACAAAACACAAGCATATAATTGAAAATGATCTTGCAATGTAGAAGTAAAACATAGGTGATAGAACAGTACAGGACAGAATGATGCAATGCAGTTCAATACAGCACAAGAACAGGCTCTTCAGCCCACCGAGCCTGCACCAATTCCTAGTGCTTATTTAGACCCACTACTTATTGTCCATGCATGGTTTCTTTCTTCTGTTCGAATCATGTTAGTGTGTCTATCAAGATATGCCTTAAACGTTGCTAACAGGCCTGCTTCCACCACCTCCCCTAGTTAGTGTATTTTAGGTACCCAACACCCTCTGGATGAAAAATTTTCCCTGCACTTCTCCCCTAAACTTTCCATCTCTCACCTTGAACCTGTGCCCTCTTGTAGTTAACCTTCCCACTGTGGGAAATAGCCTTTGACTAGCCACCCTATCTATGCCTCTCATAATTTTGTAGATCTCTATCAAGTTGCCCCTCCGCCTCTGTCTTTCGAGTGAAAACAATCCAAGTTTATCCAAACTCTCCTTATAACTAAAACCCTCCGGATCAGGCAAGATTCTGGTAAATCTTATCCGCACCTTCTCCAAAGCATCCATGTCGTTCTGGTTGTGTGGTGACCCTGCAGTATTCCTGATGTGGCCTAACTAATGTTCTGTACAGCTGTAACATGACTTGACAACTTTATTAGTCAGGGCATTGAATATAAAAGGCAAGAGTGCTGTATGCCATCTTGATCACATTATCCATTTGTGTTGCCACTTTTGGGGATCTGTGGATCTGTACCCCCAGATCTCTCTATGTTGATGCTGCTAAGGGTTCTACCATTTATTGTATAATTTGCTTATGAATTTTGATCTTCCAAAATGCATCACCTCGCATTTGTCCAGATTAAACTCCATCTGCCAATTTCTAAATGATGGAGAACTGCACAGTGTGAGGGTGCCTTTCAGTTAAGCTGTTAAACCAGCATTTTCTAAAGATCCCTTGCCACTATTTGAATAAAATCATAGTACTGACCATGTCAAGAAAAGGTGAGAGAAGGAAGTGGGGTTGTTTGGGTGGGGTGGGGGGAAGAAATATGATGAAGCTTCCTAATATCAATATCAGAAACATGCAAACTATAGAAGGGAACTGGGGGAAGAGTTTGTGTTTGGGCATTTCCAATAATTCTAAAATATGTGAAAAATGTATGTAATTAAAATGTTTTATGTTTAAGGATATCCTATTAAGATATCTGATTTGGTCTACTGTACTTAATATACATCTAATCTCACAAGATTAAATTGTGATTTATAATTGCATTATTGTTAAGCTGAGAAATACAGGGTGAATCTTTTTATTTAATCTGCAAGTAGCAAATTATAAGCAATGTAGCTGTTTCACTCTCTGGCATGATGATCAGGTTGTATCTTAACTGAAGCAAATTGCTGATTTGGTGACCTTCTTAAATGCAGACTTTATTTCTGTTCCATTTTAACTGCATACAAACATAGGATAATACTGCAGTCTAGCACACAGAGTTGTAAGCCTTCTAATCCCTGTGCTGCTCCTGGCGTAAGCCCTACGGGCAAACGGACAACCAGATCCATGGCTGCAAACAATAATCTGAGGTAAGGAGATAATTTCTGTGGGTACATTTTAACAAAGCATCTTAACGTACTATATCTATTATTCTCTTGGGTATTATAAAGTGTAAGATAATTTGTGAAAAAATTAGTTTTTAAAATGGTATTAGTTCATACATGAAAAATGAATTGGATTCTCAATTATCTACTTATTAAAAGTTTTTTTTTGTATTGTCAACTCATGAACCTAGATAAAACTAAACAGTTTAAATAATTTTTAAAAATCTAACTGAAACATGTTGGCTTTTTGGTCTGTATTTTATATCAAAAAGTGAAAGCAATGTTGTCAAGTACCATCATATTGAAATACTTTTGATAATGTTGGAAAGAAGGGAATGGATGCTGCATACTGTGGCAATTCCTGCATAAGAAAAGTCTAGCAGTAAATTATTACTTTTCATTATTGTAAAATATTTGGGGAATATGTTCATGCTCAAATATTCTTTTAGTGGTTCAATTTAAATTAGTACACTGAGCTATGAACCTTCCCACCCTCCCTACACACTCTGCCCTGTGTTTACGCTCTTCTCCTGCAGCTGTAGTACATGTGCTGTGTTGTTGTTCTCCAACATTCTCCTACAATCTCTCCAGGCTACTACTTTCACCCGGCTCCTCTAGTGCATTTTTTTTAATGATCTGCTCTCCCTCTCTGCTACTACCAAAAACTGCAGAGAGAAGCAGACAGATCCTACTCACTGACATTAATTGGAATTACATCCCTGATTCCTTACTGTCTGATTCAAAATTAAACTCCCTTGCTAACAGCACTGCAAGTGTTCCTCGACATCAAGGACTGTGATTTGAGATGACAGCTTCTCCAGGGCAATTGGGGATGACAAAAATTAATGGTCTAGTCAATAACACCCACATTTTAAAAAAAAACACTCAAAATGTCCTGAGGGTGATCATTGATCAGAAACTGAACAGGACCAGCCATATAAATACTATAGCTACAACAGCAGGTCAGTGGCTGGGAATGCTGAAGCAAGTTACTCACCATCTGACTCCCCAAAGTTTCTTCACAAAGATGTAAATCAGGAACATGATCAAAGAATTCCTGCAAGTGTGGAAGACATTCAACCCATTGAGTCCAACTGACCCTCTAAACAGGATCCCAACCAAACCCAACCCCCTCCCCTATTCCCTGCATTTCCACGGCTAATCCACCTACTTGCACATTCCTGGACACTATTGGCAATTTAGCATGATCAATCTGCCTAACCTGTGCATCTTTGGATTGTGGGAGAAAACTGGAGCACCTGGAGGAAACCCACGCAGACACCGGGAGAATGTCCAAACTCCACACAGACAGTTGCCCATGGGTGGAATTGACCTTGGGTTGCTGGCACTGTAAGGCAGCAGTGCTCGCCACTGTGTCATGACAGAATATTTGCCTGGATGTGTATAACTTCAAAAACACTCGCAACTTGATTCCATCTGGATCAAAGTAGCCTGCTTGATTGGCATCCCATTCACCCTGTTCAACATTCACTCCCTTTACCACTGAAACACATTGGCAGCAGCGTGTAGCATTTACAAGATGTACTGAAATGATGCTTTTTTGACATACCTTCCAAACTTCTGATCCCTACTACTTGGAACGACAAGGACAACAGATACAAGGGAACAGCACCACCTGTAAGTTTCCCTCCAAGCTGCCCACCATCCTGATTTGAAAATATAGTTCCATTTCTTCACTGTCATAGGGTTCTTTGAATTAACAACAAATCAAAGCACTCAAACATTGAGAAGAAAAGGTCTACATGGGCTTGGTGGGATGCAGAATATGAAAGCCATATTTTTAAACTGTTAACTTGAATTACCATGCTCTAGATATAGCTGTCCCATCAAGCCGGCACTGTTGCACCAGCCTCTGTTTTGATCACCAGCCTTTATATTGTGCTTTGTCAAATACTTTCTTAGAAAATATATAGACAACAACCATTGCATTCCCTTCATCATCCTTCTTAGTTACTTTTGTAATATTCATTTGGATTAGTCAAGCATAAATTGTCTTTTACAAATCCATATTGATTACCCTTAATTAACTAAGCTTTCAGCCTGTTTATTTTTCCCCCAATTATTGTTTCTAAAACATTACCAACCACTTGATGTTGAAGTGACTGGCCTGCAGTTAATATGACTGTCCTCGCACCTCCTCACGAATAAGAATATCACATTTACTGCTTTCCAGTCCTGACACTTTCCCCTGTTATCTAGGCAAGATTGGAAGGTTATGGTAAGCCTTCTGCTATCCCCACTGTATTTTTCTTGCAATTAGCATAAAACTATTGAACTATTCCTCTTTTTGTATGCTTGGCACACATTGAACTCTCCACAGAACTACTGCTTAAAGCAAAGAATCCCAGTTTCTATTGGATTCACGTTTCCACGAATCAACAAGTTAAAATTTCCAAGTGATAATGTTGAGGGCCTTCCTTCAGTTTTTGAACTTCCTAAATCTCGTACTAGCAATAAAGCCTGCTCAGGTGGTTCCTCTGCAAAGAATCAAGTCAAAATTTGTTAGGAAGATATTCTGGAAAAACTGGCCATCATTATCTTACAAACCTCATCAGTTGTAATGTTTTGCATTGCATCTTAAACAAGTTAAAAAGAGGGTCATGTGACTATTCCAAACAGGCTTTATACTAGCTTTGAGCCAGCTGCTTGACAAAGTGCAAAGTTTTCACAAATGGAGGTAAAGGGCATGGACAGCTTTGACAAACAGACTTGCCAAGCCCAAGTGTCCAATGCTTTGTCAACAGGCCATTTCTGTCTCACATCAGGCTTCAGTAGCTCATAAACTACAGTAGCCTGTTCATTCCATTGAACACACCAACTGCTGCTCTTTTCCTCTGTCTTTTCCTTCTGCTCCAGACACTTTGACTTAGCAAGTCTGTTTGCCACAGCCCTTTACTCCCATATGTGAAAACTTTGTTCTTTGTCAAGCAACTAGCTCAAAGCTTTGTTATAAATAATTTGGAAGTCACATGACCCTCTTTAACTTAATGTTTTGTATTGCATCACATATCTTACAAACCTCATCAGTTGTAATGATAGCCAGTTTTTCCAGAATATCTTCCTAACAATTTTCACTTAATTCTTTATCTCTGCTTCAACTGATATTTTGTTAGCACTGTTACAAAGCAATTCCTCAAATATCCTAGCCTTGTCCAACACCTCCAAACATATAGCATCCATTTGGTTTCTTTAGGCAGTTTGCCGTTGCTAATGTAAAACTTATGATACCATAATACTCTTAACCAAATGTTTCCCCACAGTCGCCTAGTCCATTTGGTCCACCTCATTTCTCTATACCACATCCAGAAATACCTCCTGCTTATTTGGGCCAAGAACAATCTGGTGAAGGAAATTTTGCAAAATACTTTCAAATTCCTCACATTCATCATATTTTCACAAATATCAAATAGAATAATGAATATTGATATTGCTACCTGTTCTTGTACATCTAGTTGAACTATATAGTTTCCCTGTCCTGATTTAAACCACCACCCTGATTTTATTTTAAAACAAAATTCACAAGAACCAGTTATCTAACTCCTGTTCTGAAAGTCACTGCTGCTTATTTGGAAGTACCCCAATCATTTTCAAGCTGTTTCCCCTAATCTTTTTCTCTTCTCTGTAACCCCAGCTGACATCTCCAACTAATCCAGCAATACTTGTCTCCTTGAAACTAACCTGACAATGATTTTGAGCTTATTACAAAACTCATCAAATTTTAAAAACTCATAAGCATGACATCTTGTTTTTTTTTATTTGTTTAAATGATGTGTCATATTCAAAATGGTACTGACAAGTGCAGCTAGACTTCAGCTGGCTGCAATGGGCTGCATAAAGTGTCTGCTTGCACTTGTGTTGCTGACAGCAGACTAGGGGTGAGGTGGATGTGGCACCTGGGGCTGATGGAGAAGCTTCCCCTCCTCCTTCCTCCCTATGCTCACCCACCACCCAGGTCTCTCCGTTGCCTGAGGAGGGCCCTTCCCAATGCTGCTTCTATGTCTGTTTCCTCCCTCCATCAATGTTAGTGTGATCCATTTCCTTGTGCCAAAATGGCAGTTGTGCAAGCAAGGCTGGTGGCATCAGCTGGCTGACATTTTGTTCTTGTGTCTGCATGATCATTGCTTCACCCAGTAGTGGCTTTCACAATAAACACAGCCTAACCTGTAATGTTACCTGCCAGGTAATGTGACCATGCCTAGGTCTTCAGATTTAATGCTTACTGTAGTGCCATCACTCAAGTAAAAACCATTTTTTCCATAATACACAAAGTTAAATCTTTTACAACAAAACAATCTACAAAATCTTTAAATATTTTTTGTGCATGAAGGTTTTGTAAAGAACATTTAATAATTTTGCTTCAAGGAATGCAGAAAACAATTCTGTAAATCCAACAATTAGTGTACATATTCAGTAACAATTTAATTTTGAACAATGCTCTATGTATATCTTGTGTAACTTTATAAGAACTAATATTTGTACTAAACTTGCATTGTTACTGCTTTGCATTTGAGCCTATGCCTCGCTGCCATAAGGTCTATCCTGGTCTGGTATTACCAACATTTGTCTCGTACTGGAAGATACTGGTTATTTCTTTTTGACCTGTTTTCATTATTAAATTTCATAGGTGCAAGTACACGTTGCTTTGTTCTTGTTTTATTCCCTAGTTTTACCTCTAGCATCAACTTTTTAAAAACTTTATTGCCTTTTCAGTATCATTGTGTTCCTGAAGGATGGAGACAAAGAAGAACCAAACATTTAGAATGACACTTTTGCTCCACTTTATTTTGTAAATATGAAAACAAATGCTATTCAGTTGCAGGTTTAGATCCCAGCTTGCTGAAAGTTAATAATTTTGAAATTAAGTACATAAAAGGTTTAGAATGCAGAAATTAAATTTGGTTGGCTTGTCGAGGTAATGTACCCCTCACAATAGACTTGGGAGAAACTGATCAAGGAATCCATTTGACTAAAGGATACCTCACCTTAAGCCTTTTGGCTTATTTACTTATGTTACCATAAGTAATATGCCTTTTAAAAGGCACTGCAGCTAAGTGTGATCCTGTCCTCAGCTAACATGCACATGGTTTTATTTTCCCCTCTTCCTTGACTTCCATTCATGAAAGAGTTGTGACAAATGCACCATACACCAACAATGAATTTGAACCGTTTATGATTGTGCAATGTAGGATTATGTACTTTGTATCAAAAAGAGACTTGTGTTTTTTGATTTCACCCATGTCTCCCCACCCTTGTACACCGTGCTACCTGTGGTTAATTTCCTGAATTAATTCTGATTCTGTATACAATAAGCTTATAAAATGCACCCTAAACTTTGGTTTTCTATTATGCACTAACATTTATTGTATCTGTTTTTAAAGTCACTCCACTATTAGCACTAAAGTACCATTGCTCCGTTAACATTCACACTTTGAAGTGATACCTCGAACATTTGTGGAGGAAATTGGAGAATGAGATTTTTCTCATATACTGAACTCAGAATTTATTCCAGAGCAGTACCCCTTCACATCACCAGAAGAATTCTTCAAAATGATAGTATTGACCTTGAACTCTACTTTGAGAACTTCCTGTCCACAACATAACAAGTAATGGTGATAATGGATCTCTGCAACTTGATGTACTAAAGGAACTGTAAAGAACATTAAGAAACATTTGAATGTGAGTGTTTACTCTCCTGTTGCACAATGTATTGTACCAGACTGTGAAGCAGAAGTCAAGCCTTTAAACACCATCTTATAGCCAAAGTAGAAAGTATAACAAAATAGTTTGTGGTATGAGTGAAAACTACATGCCATTTTATCATTTTCCAGGTAAGTGATCATGAAGGAACTAGATATTGAAGGAAGTTTGAAATTTGTTTATATTGAATCAAACTTTTGACTTTGAAAGTTGCTATTTTGAACAGTTTGTGAATTATGAATATTCTGATATCAGATGGTGCCTCCTGCAACTCTAAATCTCATTGGTTGAAGTAGTTTATGCTATTTGTGTTAAATGCTTTAAAAAGCCATCTTCTATGCATTTGAAAATAAAACCTGCAATGTTATTGATAAGAGAATGCAAAAATGCCCCAAGCAAGAAATGTCCTTCTATACAGGGCACTATCCATAGCAAACAAAATCTTAAAACTTATATCGGAGAGTTGTAAACTTCTTTAAAGTCACAACTTTTCATTTAATGAGCAGATTACTTCATGTAAAATAAACATACCATTAATTCATTTTAAAATATTAAGGAAACTTAAAAGCCAAGTGACCTTGTATTTAGACAAATATTCTACCTGTTGTGGTAGAGTTGATTTGGAACAGTGAGTGCTGTTGTCTATTGGAAAGAAATTAAAAATCTGACCCAAATTGGGTTAGAAGGATAATATTTTTATAATGCATGAATGAGTTGTATTTTCAGTTTTTGCAGTGAATGTCTTAGAGAATGGATTTTTAGCTATACAGTTAGTGCTGTGGATTGGATGTGTGCACTTGTCTGGTACAGTACTGTAAGATGAAACTTTTGTAACTTGCTACAGAATTTTGTATATTCATGTTAAAGCATACAGTACTGCACAATTAGTTTTTTTAAAATTCTGGTTGGATAATTTGCATTTGCTTCTGTTACAGTCTTGACTGGAATCTGATCCAGTATAACTGATGTACTTTTTATTAATTTGTGTGAAGGGTATTTTTAACTATGGAATTGTATCTTTTCTCTGGTTTAACCTGTTACTGTTTCATTCATTGCAATGCAAAGCTGGAGTTGAGATATATAGTTGATATATATAAAAACTTATTTTGTACAGAAATGTATGTATGCAGTATATAAACCTTTTATGACAGGAAATAAACATAGCATTTTATGTATTTGCATTCACTTAAGATGAGATTTAAATTTGTTTTTTTTTTTTTAAACTGATTTTTAATAACTCCACTCCAACTGAAAAATGGGAGATTCAATAATTGGTTCGTGGAAGATTCCACCCCCCCAATCCCACCCAACACCTGCCAAGCTGACTCAATTAGCCCAACTTCCTTTATGAAGAAAGTTGTTTTTAAAGTTATCAGTAAATCTACTTAAACTCAAAGTATATTAAATTTCATTTATTTTAAAAAGTAACAATTATCCTAGATCGTGACAATTTGGAATTTGTTTACTGCAAATGGAAAGTTTATTTACTCCAAGCAGAACAAGTATCTCTTTGGCACACTGCAATGTACAAAAACCCATCATTCTTGATTCATCCCATCTTGTAAAGCAGGTTAATAAAATCAAGAAACCTGTACAGGCACATGATGCCTGTCAGGTCAATTTTTAAGTGATTTGAAAGTACAAGATCAACTTTTATTTACTGGACCTGTCAAAGTGGACTCCATCACCAATTTCGATATCTCCCCATTCCTTCTCTCCCTCTTTGGCTGTGACCACGCGCCCCCCCCCACCCAACCCTCTTTAAAAACATCTTGTAGAGTTCAGATTTAAATCTTTTGCTATTACTTAAAGGTTCTGTGTGAAACTCAATTTTTAAAAAAGATTTTTACTTGGTCCACAAAATTGAGCTGTATATGTCCCCAAAAGAGTAATGCAGTGGTGCTAGTTCATAACTTCAAATAGATATCATTTACCAAAAATAAAAGCCTACAGTTTGGTCAATGTTTAACATCATTGTGTATTAATCCAGTTTAGGGCCTGTTTGACAAAGTGATAGCTCTACCTAGCCTAGAGGTAAGGATGCTATGTAATATACCTCAACAGGTTGATTAAAAGTATCTATAAATCTAGTTTACTCCAACTATTGCTTAATCTAGATACTCAAATGCTTTTGACTTCAAATTGCTAAATGCATCAGGACCTTTGTACAACCTTAAGCTACAAATCCATCTTGCAGCTTTGTTCTGGTTCTTGCATTAATTGAAGTAAGTCAGTCTGTTACATATGAAGCTCTCCCAAACTAGAATGTCAGTAATGCTTCAGTTGGAAAACCAAAAAGTTGACAGATAAGACTGCCAAATATTAATATTAGATTCAGGCGGAACATTGAGTTAAAGCACAATCAGATAAGCATGCTATGCCATTCTGTGGATTGTTGCTAAAGGATAAATAGGAGGTGGCTTTTAAGTTTGTTTTTGTTAAACTCAACATCCTCATCCTGCAAGCCCACATACTTGACATCCACCACATTTTCCTTCCATTGCATTGTCATGAACATGGATAATCAGGAATAGTTTAAAAACAAAAATGGTTAGCAGGAGACCCCCCACAAAAAGGAATTCCCAACAAATAAAACCTGGACTCAAATGCTGATAGAAATTTAGGGTTCTCCTGCTGGGGTGGGGAAAAGAGAGCTTATCACAAACTCAAAAGTACCCTGCAAAGTCCTCAGCCACTCAAGAAAAGGCAACCACCATCAGGTCTGGACATTATTAAAAAGGAGAATATATTACCATTTTGACAGAAGTCACAAAGCTTCTGAAAGAGGAATAATGGCTTCTGGCAAAGGACAGGTATTTTCATTAACTAAATGGGTCATACTTGACAATTAAGGATCAAGTGGCTTTCAGCATTTTGGCAAGACAACTCAAACCAACAACTAGCAAATGCACTAGTAACTGATTTTATTCAGTCATACAATGGCGTAACCACTTATAAAAACAAACCCCTGAATGTTTTCGTTCTTAGTGTATGTCTAATACTTGGTGATGCCACTCTGCTATACTTAAAGTGCTGCATGACAATCCCTCACTGTTTCTACAATGTAAACATTAATAATATTGAATTCAACTCCATGTATGGCAACATGAAGATAAATAACTAACTTTCAACAAATCTGCATTTATTCTATCAAGTTTTCACAATCATATTTACCAAAAAGGCAAATTATGCAGTCTTTCCCCTTTACATAAGTTAGTCCAAACTTCACAAATTTAACACTTGGCTTCCAAAAACTGACACTAGGGGAAAAAGGTTTTCTTTTGTTGTTTTCTGAATTTGTGGTCTAATAAGCAACTTTTCAAGTTCAAGGACATGTGCACGTAATGTTTAAAATGGCTTCAAAGTTGCAATTGCAGCTACTTTTGAATGGGCACCAAAACAGGCCACTTCCATAACATGCCTGCACTACTTCAAAATTTACAAATACCAAATGATAGACCATCTTTGTCAGAATATAGGGTGCATTCTCTTACCCGTGTGCTTTTTTTCAGGAAACCATTACAAATCAAGCAAACAATTCAATATTTTTAATATATAGCATTTTTTAAACATCAAATATACCTCTCTTCAGCAGTTTAAGACATTTGCCAATATCACACAAAGTAAGCACAAAGTGAGGTGCTGAAAACTCAGGAGAAATGCCATATTCCACCCATCTTTCACCCACACACATTGAGTGAAGTCTATTCACATTCAGTAGTGAACAGAAAAGTCCAATTTCAGTAGATGCGAGCCAACTGCCACTCCTTGTAGTCGGTGTTGCGCACTGAAGCAAAAAGCCTCTCTTTGTGATGTGCCAAAACTTACTTTCTTCAAGACCGGTGCCAGCTACAATTTCAATGTTGCTTCAGGCAAGAGCTGGGAAGTCCTCAGGGTCATCAGGATTGGGAGCACTTACCCGTGTCTAAAGAAAGACAAAATTATTTTTACATACTGCAATGGAACAACTGCAATTGTTCATTCCTGTCTGGCACAAAACTGAAACAGGAAAGGTAGTCTGACCTTGTCTAGCAAGGGAAATTAGAGATAGTATTCAATCCAAGGAAAGGGCATACAAATTGGCCAAAATAAAAAAAAAGCAGTGGACTCAAGGATTGGCAGCAGTTTAGATTTCAGCAAAAGGACAAAAGGGATTAAGAGGGGGGGAAGTGGAGTACAAAAATAAGCTTGGGAGGAACATACAAACTGATTGTAACAGCTCTTACAGGTATGTGAAGAGGAAAAGAAGAGACGACAAGTATAGGTTCGTGACAGGCAGAAACAGGACAAGTTATAATGAGAAACAAAGATGGCAGACAGATGACCATTAGATACGTTTTGGTTATGTCTTAAAGGAGGACTCTTGTAACATTCCAAAAAAAATGTCAGGGTAAGTGAGAGGGAGGAACGAAAGGAAACCAGTTAGGAAATGATGTTGGGGAAATTAATGGGATAAAAGGCCAAAAGATTCCCATGGCCAGATAATCTACATCCCAGATCATTTAAGCAAATGGTCCAGGAAACAGTGGATGCATTGGTCATCTTTCAAGATTCTGTTCACTCTGGAACAGTTCCTATGGTTTGGAGGTAGTTAAATGTAATTCATCTATTTAAAAAGGAGGTAGAGAGAAGGTATCAACAGTGGGCAAAATGCCAAAGTCCATTTAGAAGATTTAATAGCAGAGCGCTCAGAAAATTTCTGAATGACAGGATCAGACAGTCAACATGGATTTAGGAACACTTAATAAATCTATTGGAATTTCAGGATATAACTGGTGGTGTATAAGGGGGAGCCAGTAGATGTGGTATACTTAGTCTTTTAGAAGACATTTGATAAGCTCTCACATAGAAGATAAGCATATCAAATTAAAGCTGATGAGGGAAGTGTACAATGGGGTTACAGAACTGGTTTACAGACAGGAAACAGTAAGAATAAACAGATCTTTTTCCAAGTGGTAAACAGTGTTTAGTAGGCTACCACAAAAATTCAGGCTTGGGCCCCAGCTATTCATTATATATATTATTAATTCTGAGGGAATTAAATGCAATATCTCCAAGTTTGGAGATGACACAAAGTTGGGTGGGAAGATGAGCTCTAAGAAGGATGCCGAGTTGCTTCAATGTGATATAGACAAGTTGAGTGACTAAGCAATGGATGGCAGATAAAGGTATAATACGGTTAAATGTAACTTTATCCACTTTGTTAGCAAAACAAAGACAGATTATTATCTGAATGGTGATAGATTGGGGGGGGGGGGGGGGGGGGGGGGGGGGGGGGGGAGGTGGTGCAAGGAGACACATGTATCCTTGTACACCAATCACCGAAAACAAGGTGCAGCAGATGATGATGGCAGCAAATGGTTTGTTGGGCTTCATAGCAAGAGGATTCAAGTACAACAGCAGGGATGTCTTGCTCCATTTGTACAGGTCCTTGGTCAGACCATACCTGGAGTACTGTGGGAAACTGAATTATGAGTAGCTGTCTCATGGCCATTGGCCAATAGCCATTAGGCAGATGATTGGCATAGCATTGATGGCCAGCCTCAAACTAAAAGATATATTAACAGCGACAAGAGGGAAGTGGCAAGAAAATCCAGACAGATGAGCTAACCATCCTCTTGGGAGAAGATGGGGGCTCCCCCTGAGGAGCAAAGATTGTTGGTAGTGAGACCACCAAGACTATTACAAGAATACAGAGGACCACTGAACTGTTGGAGTGCGCTGCCTCCTCTATTCTAAGAACAGCTCGGAGATCGGTAAAGTATTCTCATCTGTCATGAGTCAAATACTTCCTTTCTTTGCACAATATTATTCCATAAGTAAACTGCTGCTTCTCAATAAACTAATCAGCAAAACTGCAATAAATCGTCAACCGCCTAAATTAGGTAACAGTGATTATGAACCCCCCCACCCTCCCAAAATCAACACAAGGTAAAGGCAGTTTCTCATGGTAGTGGTATCCCACAAGGTTTCACTCTGGAATCACTTCTGTTCACAGTGTACATCAATGATTTGGACATGGATTCCTCTTTATCAACTTTACTTGTTACATCCTCAAAAAGAACTCTCGCAAATTTGTCAAATATTACTTCCCTTTTGCAAAAACGTGTTGACTGTGTTGGATTCCATTAAGCTTTTAAGTGTCTTGTTGTTTTTTCATAAAAATAATGGACTTCCAGCAACTTCCCAAAACCACATTCGGCTAACTGGCATACAGTTTCCTGGATTTTGTCTCCCTGTCTTCTTCAACAGAGCATCACATTACCAGTCTTCCAATCTGCTGGAATCCTCCTAGAATTCAGTGAGTTCTGGAATATTTCAACAAATGAATCTACTATGTCTGCAGATGCTTTCTTTAAGACAGTTGGATACAGATCATCAGGTCCTGGCAACTTTAGCCCCATTAGTCTGTCAAAATGTTTGTCTTTTCTGATACACTTACAAAATTTTACCTTCTGTTAGCAGCTTGCTTATATAATATCCCATTGTTAACAGATAGAGTCATCTGCAGCAAAGCCCAAAGCAAAATACTGGTTTCAGTTATGTGCCATTTCCCTGTTATGTATTCCACAGTTGCATTCTCCAAGGGTTCCATTCATTTTAGCTACTTTTTCTTTTTGTATTTCCAGAAAAGATCTTGCTGTTTATTTTTAATCTTACTTACCAATACATTTTCCCTTTTTATTAGCTTTTTAATCATCCGCAGGTGGTTTCTAAAAAAATTCCCAAACCTCTGGCCTAGCACTAATTTCCTTCACTTTGAATGCCTTAGTTTTTAATTGGATACATTCCTTGGCCACCCTTGTTAATCCTGGGTTGTTCATGCTTCTCAGTGTTCTTCCTTTTGACAGGAATACATTTTGATCAGCATTATGAAGTATCTACTGAAATGTCTACTACTGCTCATTCACTGACTTTTCCCTTAGTTTATTTTCCCAACTTGCTTTGACAACTCCTTCCTCACACTTCTGTAATTGCCTTTCTCGAAGTTAAGGACAACGGCTTCAGATGGGAGTTGCTCTCCCTCAAAAGGGAATTTGAAATTTTACCATGTTATGATTGCTACCTCCTTGGAGATCCTTAACTACAAAGTCTCATTCATCCTACCACATCGTGTCACAAGCACCAGAGCATCTGAAGAACGTCACACGTTCCTTTCACATTGCTGGTATTTATTATGCATGTGATTGCCAATGTCCAAATCCAGTGAATTAATTTTTAAAGAAAGACATGGAACACCACCAACATTATTGAAGCAGAGGTGGTGTTAACATGCACACATATTTGAATGAGTAGTTGAAGGGAAGAGATCAGGTAAATGAATCGAGAAGCGTTGTTCATGTTAATTTCATTTTTCACATGGGCTAGTAGGAACAAATGGCCTGTTTCCATTATAACAACTTCTTTGCAATTCTTAAGATGTGGATGAATCAAAATACATGAACAGAAATTTCAAAGTGAACTATTAGAACTACCATAAATAAATTGTCTCGAGTCTTTAAGAGGGCAGGGACTGAAGCCAAAATATTACTATAGTCTACAGATAATAATCCTGTTTTCTCTAACCTCTTCCAACTCTTAGATCTGTTTGCCCTGGATTCGCTTCTTTCCAGAGCTCTAGAATTCCTCACTAAGCCACGATGTCACTCCACTTGCTAAGTCACTCCCTTAAAAATAGTTCTGTGGCACAGTTTTTGGTCTCTATCCTATCTTGGGTGGCAAATGTTTTGATAAGATTCCTTTGAAAGGCCCGGGGGTGTTGTTAAAGCACTGTTACCAATGGGAGCATTCACTGCTTTCACGTGTGACAGTTATTGATTCATATCCGTGTTATGAATGCATGCTCCGTATAAAATAACTAAATCAAAAATAGATACCAGGCTGTAAATTTAAAGAAACGAAAGCCACATTCCGGTGACTTGTAATCCCCATTAAAGATGGCAAAACATTTGCGTTATTGTACATTCTACATTCCAAAACCATTGAAATGGAGATCACCTGTCTGCAAAACTTCACCAGCACTTCGGCAGAGTACAAACGTGTGGGTAAATGTCATTAGGCTTAACCACTTGGACAATGGGACTCTGTGAAAGGAATGTGCAGAGACGCAATCCAGTAATATAAAACCAGGCAACTAGAATCCACTAACCATGACCATATTTGGGTCATGGGACAGTTGGAGGGTCATGTGGCAAGTCAGCTATCCTTTGTGTAGATAAGCACCTAACATCCAGTAAATAAAACACCGCAGAAGAACAACTGAGTGTATTCCCTCTTTCTTCATCCAATATGCAAGTTTTGAAATCTGCCAAATGGATTTTGACTATCCATGTGTTGTAGGCACAGACGTTTCTCATGAACTCAACCTAGCAATTGCTGTATCCAGAAAAACAGATTATCTGTATCACTAAACTACCTTGACACCCAGTCCAGATCAATCACCAAATTCAGCCTAAAGTCTTCTAAGTCTCCAACCTTCAAAGCTGAATACCATTTGCTTTTACTGGATTTTAAACTAGTTAATCTATTTTTCCTCCCTCACCCCCATCCCAGGCCCCAAGAAGACTTTCCACATCAAGCAGATGTTCACCTGCACATCTGCCAATGTGGTATACTGCATCCGCTGTACCCGGTGTGGCTTCCTCTACATCGGGGAAACCAAGCGGAGACTCGGGGACCGCTTTGCAGAACACTTACGCTCGGTTCGCAACAAACAACTGCACCTCCCAGTCGCGAACCATTTCAACTCCCCCTCCCATTCCTCAGACGACATGTCCATCCTGGGCCTCCTGCAGTGCCACAACGATGCCACCCGAAGGTTGCAGGAACAGCAACTCATATTCCGCTTGGGAACCCTGCAGCCCAATGGTATCAATGTGGATTTCACAAGTTTCAAAATCTCCCCTCCCCCCACCGCATCCCAAAACCAGTCCAACTCGTCCCTGCCTCCCTAACCTGTTCTTCCTCCCACCTATCCCCTCCTCCCACCCCAAGCCGCACCTCCATCTCCTACCGACCAACCTCATCCCACCCCCTTGACCTGTCCGTCCTCCCTGGACTGACCTATCCCCTTCCTAACTCCCTACCTACACTCACCTTTCCTGGCCCCATCCCCGCCTCTTCGACCTGTTTGTTTCCTCTCCACCTATCCTCTCCTCTATCCCTCTTCTATCCGCCTCCCACTCTCTCCCTATTTATTTCAAAACCCCCTTCCCCTCCCCCTTTTCTGATGAAGGGTCTAGGCCCGAAACGTCAGCCTCTCTGCTCCTATGATGCTGCTTGGCCTGCTGTGTTCATCCAGCCCTGCACCTTGTTGTCTCGGATTCTCCAGCATCTGCAGTTCCTACTATCTCTGAATCTATTTTTCTGTTCTAATTGACTTTGTGTATGAAAGTCAAGAGGGTATTATTTTCTTTTACCAGGTATAGTAGTTTTTTCTTATTAGACAGACAAGGAAAGTATCTTGTGTCTTTTATAATCATAACATGCATCACTGAACTGACAAGCATATCCTTTGTTAAGATCAAATGAGGAGTAAAGAAAGAGATGACTATTCCACCCTCCTCACTTGATCGCATCACACGGTCACATGCAAAAACTTTTTCTGCTTCCCCAAATGCACACCTCCCTCCTGAATGCCCTACTCCGAAGAAGTGAAGACCACCTTTACCATATCCACAGCTGGCATTTCTGGCCTGGTTTCAGCAATTCGCTTGGCTCTTCCACGGCCTCTAGCACCACCACGTCCTCGACCAGGGCGTGTAAGACTGCCGAAGTTAATGTCTAATTTGGAAGTGATGTCATTTGCTGATCGTCTAAAGTAATGGTGATCTTCCTCATCAGATTCCTCTTTCTGTTCCTAGTGTAGGAGCAAGAAAGTTTGCAATCACTGACATGACAGACATATTGACTGATGAGAAGAGAACAGGTTTTTATTTTAAAAACAATATAAACTGGTAGCTTCCAAGTCATCTCCAGTCTTTGGATTTCCAGGACTCCTAGGTCTGCTGTAAGAATGTAGTGGGTGAAACAGTTTACTGACCAAACTGGACGACATACACTGGTTTCTCTTTACCTCATGTAGAGATACTGCAGCCTCCATTCAGCACTCACACGAAATTTTAGAGAGAGGTCAAGGATAAGCAGACCAGATAGCTAACTACCACCACACAGACAAAGCACAATCTAGCTCTATGCCTTCAAACTTTGCATGATTTGGTTAATATCAACAGCTGTTGATACAGTTTTACAATCCAATCCACTTACATCCCCTTCATATTTAGACTTATGGATCACAACTGCCTTCAACAAAACACTGGAGTCTGGTTTGCGGATGTTGAATTCCTTCTTGAAGCGGGTCTGTTCCTGAAGCGCCTTCCATTCATCCAGAGTCATTTCATGTGGACCATCATCTACCGTTGCTTCATGCTCCCCTTCATTCAGTCTACAACATAAAAGTATAGGCAAAGTAATGGTTAACTTTTGAAAGTATCTGTGAATATTGTAAGTCAAAAGATGATATTGTCTTAGTTTTGGTTATTTAATGACTTTTTCTACTCTCCTCATCACAGGTTCTCCCTTGTGTTCTTTTCCCTGGCTCTGTACTTAAATGTCAATTCTAATGAAAGATTACTAATCTGAAATGGCAACTTTCTCCACATTGCTGCCTGACCTAAGCATTTCCAACATTTTTCTTCAAATTTCCAGCATATGTACTCGTTCGTTTCTTCTTCCCCTAGAAAGAATGGACTTGTTTTATGATAAAATTTATTATTCTCCTAACTAAATTAAGGGCTTCTAAAGCATATAGTGCAGTCTTTCAAACCAATCACTGCAAGGCAAACAAAACAGCGCTGTTGGCTGGTAAACAACCTTTGGCCTCACCCCCAGTTTCTTTAATCCTTGTTCATCCATTCCACCCCAAGAACAGGTGGATGCAAACACAGTAACACAATTTTCTGGGAACCACATACCAGACAGGCAGGTACTGGAGGCTAGAGGAAGGCACATCTACAATAAAGATGCGCAGAAACAATTGTTTGAAACTGTTAGAGAAAAAATTTCTGGAATTGAAGTCTTCTATTGCAACAGGGGACTATAATGTGGTGAGATTATCAAAATGATATTTAATCCAGGATATGGTCATGAATACAACATCCACTAAGTGCCCAGAAAAGATGGTGGACAGAAAAAGACAGTGACATAACCCTGAATGTTAAGAATATCTGGGAGTGAATAACTTGATAGTGTGCAAGACAGAGGACTGAACAATCAACTGTTCTTGTCAGACATTTTTAATGCAGAAGGACAAAACTAGTACTAAAAATATACTTGTGACTCCATGTCAACTAATGAAGGAAGACAGCGTGTTCCACAAGATAGAATATGCAAGGGAGGTGTGCAAAGAAAGCTATTTTTAATGGGCAACTTGAAATCAATCAAATATAATCAGTAATAACTTAATGGGTTCACAGCTCAAGATCACAAATGTTATCAGCGACTGATTTATGACCCAGTATCAGTGACACATGTACTCCAAACGGTGTTGAAATAGCCTATGATTAAGTTGAAAAAGACCTACCAGTCTTAGTAGACTTGACACTATGTCCAACCAATGCAGAGCCACAATCAACAAAGTAAATAGAGTGCTGACCTATATAACCAAAATAGCAGAGCACAAGTCAGATGAAGTCATGTGCAAACTATATAGTGCCAATCAGACCATAGTTTGAGTACTGTCTCCAGCTCTGGTTCCCAAGACATTCAATTACTGGAAACAGTATGCAGGAAAACCCCAAAACTGATCCATAGTGTTAAGTCTGAGTTGCAAGAAAAGACTGAAGAAAGGCTAAGAAAACTTGGGCTTTTCAGCTTTAAAAGATACCTTCAGAAGTGAAGTATTGATCACACAAGATGATCTGTGCATGGAATGGACTTCTGGATGGGATAGTCAAAAAATACCCAAGCTATTCAATAAAGTCATTTTTAAAAAAATTCTGTCTAGATGAATGAATAAAGATGAATCACATTGCCGCTATCATCCACAAGTATTTTGTATCTGTTCAGAAGATGAGTCAATCATGTATACTCCATAGCAGTAGAAAGAAGTCTAGAACCAGTGAACTCACTTGTTCTCTGTATCGCCTTCAAGTGCATCTTGGGGTTCTTCCATTTCAGTTGCCTCTTCAACTGGAGTTGTCTCAGTCTCTCTAAATGTGTGCGTGGGGAGCAGGGGAAAAAAAAAGGAGAGGAAAGATTACTCATAGTCTGATCCCAAGTAGTCATGACCAACATTCCCTTTCAGACTCTGTTGTAGCCAAAATTTCAGCAAACAGTCTCTACAAAGTTGTTTTTATGCTGCCATACACATGGTATACAATCATAGAATAAGGCCTTAATGATACCTTCCAGGAACATGGGTCATAAGATCTTTCTTTTTAAAAAAAATAATCATCACATCCGCAGTGAATTATAGCTTTTAACTCTGACCTATACCCGAGTTAGATCAGGAGTACTTCCTTGAAACTTCTGTCCACTGAGTTCAAGTTAGTTAATCCCATAAATGCCTTGGATGTAAAGTATTTAACACAACCATCCCTCAAATGAAGAAGTTGCCAGAGAATATTTGCTTTTCCCCAATTAGCTTGCTTAGGTTTAGCCAGTTAGGCTTCCCAGATATTTTAAGGATCTGGGAATTCTCTCTCCAGATTACATACTCCACCACTGAAGGAGTATACAGAGCAGGATTGGTTTCAGTTGTAACAGAAAAAGATTATTCACTAATTTTACAATTTCATCAACATAAATTAACAAGCAATACACCAAGTGAATAAGTATACGGTTACGCTGAAAACTGAAAAATGAAATACCAAGTCTAATAGAAATCAGTTATGTTGAACTATTCAAGAACATCGAAGAACATCCAGGAATATCCAAGAGTTAAACATCCATCAACATTTAAAATTTTATCAAGGCCAAAGCAAAGATGATATGTTTTCCCAGTGGGAGAAAATACCTTTTGAAAACTATGATGGTTGGATATTTCTGAAATTTCAATTGAAAATGTCTTTTTTATATTCTTTTTCCCTGGCTTTGCGGGTGTTAACTTTCTACATAGGTTCGTCGCATTTTCAGATGATGCTGCATCATTTAACATAAATTCTTTAATTATTCAGTGAATAATTATGAAGTTGTGAGCTATTATCTAGCCGATTCACATTTGATGTTTTATTCTCGTATAGATAGTCCTTTTATCTCTCGTATGCTCTTTCATTCTTAAAAGAATCCTTTATTAAAAGATTATCAGTAACAATGTTTCATTTCTGTGTCTTTAGCAGTGCTCTCTTCTTCTGGTTTGTAACGATATTCATGTGATAATGATCTTTGCCATCCCTTATCAGATGAGCAATTCCAGTATTCCTGTTATGTTCACACCTCTGACCTCTGTGTGATGATGCCATGTCTCCTACCAGACCTTCCTTTTAATGATAAAAAGTATGGCTTGTACTTTTGTGGTCTGTGCTCAATTAATAGCATGTGTCTCATCTTCATGACCCATTCTAGGTACACTCTCATTTCAAAGTGGACCTTTCTGGATTTTCCCTCTAGCTGCAATGACATATTTAATGGTTCACACCTACATGAATCTTTAAAAATGTTTTTAACATCCAAGTGTCCTATCCAAGTAGTTAATACTTATTTCTCAATCAAACCCTTACCACAAATCAGATAATACAAAAATAAGTTTCTAGCTTGTTCTCTCCAATACTTCCACTTTCTATATTCCCCAAATCCATTTTATTTTCTTTGATAACAATGCAGATTTATTGCATCGAACAGTCAAGAAAGCCTACCTCTTATACAAGGTTAGCCTAATGCTAACGGAAATCACAGAATGAAACTCTTCAGCAAAGAAAGCAACTTTTCACTCTGTTTTAAACTATTTTTTTTCTTTTCAAATATTTATCAATGTAATTTTTAAGAGGTGTACTCCTTAACTACAAAATTATAGAACAGTACAGTTTTTCTTTAAGTAGAAAAAGGACTACCTAACTAAAAAGAAACAAAGAATAAATGGGTAATTTTCAGGACGGCAAACTGTAACTAGTATCACAGAGGTCAGTGCTGGATATGTTTTTGATCTATATTGATAACTTGGATAAAGGACCAACTATATGATGGACAAATTTGCTAGTGATATCAAGATAGGTAGAAAAGCAAGTTGTGAGGAGGATACAAAAGTCTGAAAGGCTATCAAAAAGGTTAAGCAAGTTACAAAAATGGCAGATGGAGTATGCTATGCGAAGAGGTCCATCTTTGCACGAGAAATAGAAAAGCAAAATTAGATTTAAATGGGAACTACAGAATTCAGCAACGCAATGGCATATTTTCACAAATCATAAAAAGTCAACATTCAGATATGAAAGTTACAAGGCAAATGCAAACTGGCCGTTATTGCAAAGTGATGGAGTAGAAAGGGAGAGAAATGTGGCTAAAATGATTCAGGACTTTGGTGCAACCATACATAGCATACCATGCACAGTTTTAGTTACATTACTTGAGAAGGGACATTCTGCATTGGAAGTAGTTCAGAGAAGATTGATGAAGCTGGTTCCTGGGATGATGAATTTGTCTCATGAGAAAACGTGGAACTGGTAGGGCCTATATACATTGGAGTTTAAAAGAAAAAGGGAACAACCTACTGAATAAGAAAATAAGGGGTCTTGACAGGGAAAGTGTTTATTCTTGTGATGGAACACTTTTTTTGTAAAAAAAAAAAGGATTAGTTCCTGGGAATCGAATAATGCTAGATAGGACAGCATTCACTGCCCATCAGTTTGGTTTTGAGATTGGTTTTTAAATTGTAGCATTTAGGACTGTCAGTTGAGCTCACAATGCAACACTCTTGTGCATACTGGCAGCTACATATATTAATACACAGGGGCTGTGTCCTTTGCAGACAGAAAGAACATGTACAAGTATTGTGTTTGTTTCAACTCAACAAAATAGGTGATAGACAGTTTCTGGTTCAATTTTCAGGCCAATACCCTGACCAGTTTCAACCTGGATGGTTTAAGATTTGAACATTCTGGCAGTTGGTGGTGGTAAACTACCTTAACAGCTGCAGTCCTGGGAGACATTTACATCCTCAGTGCTGTTAGGAAGTTCCAAAATTTTGACCCAGCATCAGCTTAAAGGGCAATACAGTTCCAAGTCTGGATGTTGTGCATCCTTAAAGGGAAACTTGCAGGTGGTGGTGTTTCCATGTATCTGCTACCCTCGTCCTTGTAGGTAACAAGAGGCATTGGGCTTGGAAGATGGTGCCAAAAAGGAGACTTACGGAGAGAAAGAAAAACAGAAAATGTTGGAAAATCTCAGCAGGTCAGGCAGCATCTGTGGACAGAAATCAGAATTAACATTTTGTGTTCAGTGACCCTTCTTCAGAATGGGGTTTTGTTCTGAAGGGTCACTGGGCTCGAAACGTTAACTCTGATTTCTTTCCACAGGTGCTGCCAGACCTGCTGAGATTTTCTAGCATTTTCTGTTTTCATTTCAGATTTCCAGCATCTTTCGATTTTTTTTTGAGATTTAGTGCAATATTGGAGTGTATCTTGTCAAAAGGTACACACTGTTACCACAGTTGTGTCAGTGAATTTTAGTTTTGAAACTATGTTAATTAAGCAGGCTGATATGCCCTGGTTAGTGTTGAACTTCATAAGTTTTGGAGCTGCACCAGCTGGGCTTTTACAGATCATACGACAAGCAGACAGGAGGTAAATTACCTGCCACAGACCAGCTCTTGTAGCCACAGTCTCTATATGGCTGGTCGAGTTCAGTGTCTGGTCAATGGTAACCTGCAAGATGTTTAAAGTGGGACCTTCAGTGATGGAAGACCATTGCGTGTCAAGGGAATAGGATTAGATTCTCTCTTGGAGATAGCATTTGCTTGGCAATTTTGTTCACAAATGTTACTTACTATTTGTCAGCCCAAGCCAAATGCTGTCCAAATCTTGCTGCATAAAGCCATAAAACCTACTAAATAGGAGCTGTAGACCATTTGGCCCCTCATCGTTTCCTGCCATTCAACAAGATTATGGCTGATCCACCTAAGGCTTTAACTCCTCTTTTGTGCCAGCTCAACATTCACTGATATTTCAAAAAATCGATCTGCCTCCTCTTTAAATACTTGGTGTTCTAGCCTCCACAACTCTCTGGAATAGAGAATTCTAAACAGTCTCTAACCTCTGAGAAGAAATTTCTTCTCACCTCAGTTTTAAAGGATTCTTCTTACCACATCCCCAAATTCAAAATTCTCCCACTTGTGGAAACATCTCCTTAACATCTACTCCGTCAGGCACCTTCAGAATCTTTCATGTTTCAATAAGATCACCGCTTATCTTCTAAACTTTATTGAATACAAACCTAACCTGTTTAGCCCACCCATTCAACCCATCTATATTGCCTTGCAGATTTCTTACGCCCTCACCACAACATGTCCTCCCACCGACACTTGTATCACTAGCAAATTTGGATATTACAGTGCCGCATCCCCCGGGTCATTAATATAGAAAGTAATTAAGTCCTAGAATGGACATTTGTGGCACTCTACCAGTTAAGTCTTTCCAACTTTAAAATATCTATAATCCTAATTCTCTTCTTTCTGTACGTTAATCAAAACCCAATCCACGTTATTATACGAACCCAATAATGAGCTCCTATCCTGCGCAATAACCTTTTATTAGGCACCTTATTGACTGCCTTCTGAAAATCTAAATGCACATCTACTGGTTCCCCTTATCAGTTCTGCTTGGTATATCCTTAAAGAAGTCTAGTAAATTTGTCAAATATGACACTTGTACAAAACCATTTTGACTCTGTGTTAAGCTTTTCCTAAATATCTTGCTAGATCTTCCTTAATAACGGACTGTATCATTTTCCTGACAATAAATTTAGTCTGACCGGACCATAGTCTCCTGCTGTCCAATGCCTGTTGGATACTCTACTTGACCACTTGTGTTAATCAAAGGTGGTTCAATCTTCTCAGGGTCTTCCTTTCTGACCAGAATAAAAAGTTTTGCTGAGCATTATGAAACATCTGCTTAAAATGTCTGTTACTGCTCATCCATTGACTTTCCCCAAGACTATTTTACCAACCTGCTTCAGACAACTCTTTCTTCATACCTCTGTAATTACCTTTCTTTACGTTGAG